CGAACTTCTGCTTTTGCAAAAACCCTTCCCTGTCTACTCGGCGTGAAATATACCTTTGCTCCAACTAGGATTTTCTCCCCGTGAAACTCTTTCCCATGCAGCTTGCGGCACGGGCTTCTTCTCCGCGTTCAATGTTCAATAGATGGCCACACATTGCACAGCGCGGCTCCAGAAACATGGTGGTAAACCTGCTTCGAGCATACATGTGGCTGTAGTGGCCATGATGAACTGATTGTTGCTCTCTGCAGGGGATTCGTTCTGAGGATGATGCGGGAGAGAACGATACGGAATCTTCAGTTGCTTCATAGCTACTTCAAACTCTGGTGCTTGGTCTGCGTAGGCAATCTGGATCTTCCTTAGTCCCTTGAAGTGGTTGCCTGGTTGACCGCATTGATCACATCGGCAGTGTACTTCTCCACTGATGATGATGGGTAAGCCCAAACCATTCCGGTGTATCAGTCACGAACCACGAAGATCTCTCTCTCTCCCTCCTTCTCTCTCTGTAAGGATTCCTTGGTCCATGATGAAGTCGAACATCACTAAATCTCCGAAAGCCTGGAGCTTCTGCGCCGCATTGTGTCTTGAAATGCTTCATCTTGGCTCTGACACAGGGTTCGCAACATGGATTCTGATACTGATGAGTGAGTAGATGATCGATGGTTTTTGGCTTCAGCTTTCAGCGTCCCTCTCCTCACCATCTTGCTAGCTCTATCAACTACATCGACTTTAAGATCATCTGCGCCGTCTTCCTCTTCATCAGCCTCGGTTCCGGATCTTCAGGTCTTTCCCCCTATTCATTCTCACCAGGTGTTGCCTGTTCAAGATGATTCTTACGCTCTCTTCTCTGGTTCTTCTTTGAGGCAGTATGATCTTGACGTTCTTCGTCTCCATTTTGGCATTCCTCTACGCTGTGATCGACAGTCAATTGGTCGGTGACTGACGCTGTCTTTCCCCGTGATATTCGCTCAATTGTGTCGTCTTTGGTAGGTATACATAGCTCGCTGTGATTGACAATGTAAGGAATATCACCTTTGATTTTCTTGCGATCTCCTTCCCCCATGCTTCTCTTTCCCTGATGATGGTTCTTCCGTGACATAGTCACGTTGAACTCTCCAAAACGACGATTCGCAATGGTGGATGTACTTGTCACGTCATTTGCCGTGTAGACTGACATGGGGTTGGTTGTCACTCTCTTCAATCTGCAGCCCTAATTCGTTTGCCATTATTCTTTGAAATGAGGTCGTGGCCGCACCCTGAATCCATAATGAACTTTGATCGTGACCCACGGGCTGGTGCAAGAGTGTGCGCGCGTTTTCTGTGTGGGATCAATCGGTGGTTGAACGCAAGTCCATCCTCATCGTCGAAGCGCGTGGTAATGGAAATCCCCATCATTCAGGCCAACAGGAAGGTGAACTTCCTTGATATCCGTAAAGGGATCATTATGATAGCTCTTGCTTCAGCAACTTTCGCATAAAACCTGTTCTACTCCCTGTTTGCCTTCTCTTGAGTATTATACTTCTTGATATCAGGTCTCAAAGGTTTCTTGATCGCTTGTTTCCATACCTTTTCTCAGAAAAAAACGGCATCGATAAGGATGATCTCAGCAGCATCATCATTGATAGATACGTTCTTCTTGGGGTTGCTGGTGTCCCTTCCGGTGCCCCAGGTTTCCCTTTGATCTCTGGTTTAGGCTTTGGCTTCTCATCGTTCTCATCCGCCGCGGCAGATGGCTTCTTGCTTCTTCTTCGGAGCGAGAACTTGCATTCCTTGGCCTTCGCGCGTGTTCCTCTGACCCATCCCCAAAATGTGATCATCGCTTTTCTGCCTGGTAACTTGTCATCTGAGAACGTGCTTTTCTTATGGCGGTGTATGGACAGTCCCTTCCTTTTGTGCATTCCCCTTTGGCATAGAGTTTGCGCAGGACCTTCCTCTTGTCCGTACTTGTGCTTCTGCCTCTTCTTGTCCTCTGGATGTTTCTTGGGATTGGGTCTTGGAGTCTCGGCTTCACTGTTGCAGCTTCCTCAGCCTCAGGTGCTCCACCACGTTTTGGCTTCCTCTTTAGATATGGATCTGCCGGTATAGCTTTCCCTTTAGGCGCAGGAGCTCTTAGATTCCTGAAAATATTTGCAAGGTTCTTCACGCCTTCTCCTTTCCCAAGAGCATCTTGTCTGAGGTCTGCCTCTCGGTGTATCTCCTGATAATATCGCGTAGGTTGTTGTAGGTCACCTTCACCCAGGCTGTTGTAGGCGCTCATAATGTAGGCCGTGAGATTGGAGTTCATGGTCTTTCTCCACGACAACAAACCCCTTGATATGTCTTCAGTTGGTATGTCATTGGGCTTCATTCCCGCAATGATCTCATCCCAAGTATGGAGTTCTTATCTCCCTGATATTCCAGTTGATACAAATGCACGGAAGTATACAGAACCTCAACGTTGGATGTTGTCTTGAAACTGAGCAAGGTGAATGCCAATTTAATGGAACCGGAAGATCCTCCTTTTGCATTGATTCTCGTCCTGAGTTTCGTGGCAACTTTGTTTTCATCTTCCTCGGCATGCGTCGCCGCTTTGTGCAGGGCCATTCCAAGCTTTGCATCAATCGTGTGAAATATTGGGTCTCCGGAGTTTTCCAATTTGCCCGGATTGGGATCAATCTATCCAAGGTTGTTGATCAGGGTCATTGGCAGCAACAATCAAGCTTGCCTTCCATAGTCCCAAATCATTGACCCTTGGCCAAGGAGGTCACAACTTTCGATTCCTCCTCTCTTTACACTTGGTCGAGAATTCATTCCTCAGTTTATGTGCTTTTGCTTCTTGGTCTCCAACTTCTTCCGCTGCTTGGTAGTATTGGTCATGAGCATCAGAATGCCAATCATAGATTCATAGACCTCGTCTCGCTCATTCCTCATGTCTCATCCTTTCGCTCTCGTGGTAGGAAGAACCAGCCGGTGGCTCGCTCCCCCCCATACCATCAAGACCATCATGATTCGCTGAAATGAAAAGGATGAAGACTGCATTTCAACCTTCAACCAAGTATTCTATGACTCCCTCTAAGTTCTTTACTTTCTCGTCAAGTCCTGAATCACCTTGACCACCAAGGCCTGGTGCTCCTCTGATGTTGCTCATCTTCAACTGGGTGTTGGCTTTAAGTGCGATATTGGCTCTTTTGATCTGGTCCTTTTCGCGTCCTGCTATCCTAGAGGTGTTTGGCTATTCAATCTCCATTTTGGCATCTTTCAATATCTTAGCCCCGAAGTGCAAATGTGAGCTTTTCATTTTCTCTGCGGATAGTTCTATCTGGTATGCCTGTGATTCTGCATGAAGCTCAGTGTCACGATAGCTAACCTCAGCGTAGGAATTGTGTTCGACACCCTTTAATGAAGCCACTTGTCCTCTGAGGTGTTCAATGACAAGTGGTTGATGATTGTGGCTCTCGTTTGCCTGCGACATCCATGAGCTGTAGCTGGTATTGCTCGCTATCCAGTTGCCTCTCTCTTCTTGCTGAGTCACTTCCAATATGTTTGTGTTCTCGTCCCGGAGTGCTAACATTCTTGCTTGTAACTGATAGGCAACATTTCTCATGGCAATGTTCTCGCTGTTGAGCATCTCTGTGCATGTGCACTCATCGTTGTGGCACTTTGTGTCTGTTGATGAATATGTCTTAATGCTGCTTGCAGTTCATTAGACACGCTCTCAACCTTTTGATTCACAGTGCAAAATTCTGAATGTTTTCATTGCTTCTCGAGCTAGTTCTTTGTATTTCCCATAGATAAGATCTGCCATTTGTTCTGCAAGTCGAAGCTTGTGCTCAAGTTCTCCTATCCTAATCGTAGCGCCTTCGTCTTCTTGCATCTTCTCTTGCAGTCGAAACTCTATGGTCCTTCCATATTCTGATACATTTGCGAACTCTTCCCCAGATCTCTGTTACGAATCAGTGTATTCTGTGTATCCAGATTGAAAATGAGAATGCGCGTCGCGCAGAAACCTATAGGCCATACTGGATGATCGTAGTTCTTCCAATGACTGCACCTCTCTTCTTCTAAGGTCAGGACTGCCACGGGTTATGCTTGTCTTTTCAATACTCTTCGTCGGTGATCGAGCGTGGGATACCCTTGGCGATGCAGACCTGCCGAGGTTCGGAGAGCCCTCCTGACGTGGAGCCGGTGGTAATTTGCGTTGGAACGGCGCTACCTTCTCTTGATCGGTTGGCGTCGCATCAGCTGAGCTTGCGCCTGTCATTCCTGAGTCATGAGTCAGGAGATGACGGTGACGTGTTTCCTCCAGGGGCGGCAAGGAAATAGGGTTCACTACCATTTCCTCCGGAACTGGACATAGTTGGTCAGAATATGTTGTTGGTCTCTCGATAGTTCGTACTCAAGATCGGGTACGGCTGATAACCTGCGCATGGGTGTTACCAACAACTTGCAGTGAAAACAACAGTTAGTCACCTCCGCGTCCGCGTGAAGGATGTCGTACGTTATATATATTTTCTTCAACGGGCGCGTGAGCCAAAAGGTGATTCGGCGGTCGGTAAAGTTGTATATGCTACACACAATTGCCTAGGTACTGCTCCTAGTGCACTTCCATTGGCACTTGATGTGTTCTGAGCGAACAGCTTACACGTCGTCTTGGAACATGCCATCTGCAAGAACAACCGCGCAGCATAGAACAAGACTTAGAACGTGGCAGATTTCGAGCTTCATGTTCAGGCTTGGAGTTATCGAGCATGGAGCTCTAAGTGTTCAAGCTGTGCAACAAGAATTTGCAACGCAAGCTGTCTGTGCATGTGTAACATATGCAACATATACACACAACGCCCGGATGCTGGGGAACACTTGTACCTACCTGGGGAACTTGCGTTCCACATGCCAGGTGTGCCACGCTACAGTGTGCATGTTTGGGCCGGGCATGTCGGCATCTTTCTACACAGTATGAATTGCAGCTTTGCACGTGTGAAGGATCAGGATCCACGACGTGTTGTCCGCATATGGGCCCTCGGCACCTCGGAAGCGTTGATGCCATGCCTGGGACGGCTCGGACTTGAGAAAGAGCAACAAATCAAAGAAAAACATTGCAATGGACAATCAACCCTCTCCAGTTTTCATACTCTCTGCCAGTCTGCCCGTGTTCGACCCGTCACATCACGGCAAGGTGCGAGTATACAAAGCGGGAAGCCACCCATGCTCCAACAATGGCCGAAACATAGTTGGAAGGTACAGTTTTTAGGAGACCCTGGCAGGGCAAACGCGATGTTTGTATAACTGAAAGCCTCCACAAAGACACCGACCTTTCACTGTCTCTGGCCTCGATGCCCTGCTTCCTTGGGGAGCTGATGTGTCTAAACCTTTAACAATGTAGGTGTACAAACGGTACAAAGCTCATGGTAGTAGTGAGTGCGGCGATGTTTTTTCTGCATCACAAGAGCCCCATAACATGCCCAGGGCATGCCGGGACACTGCAGCATCAAAGGTGGGATTGCCATGGCCAAAACGCTGCGCACGAGCTGATCTCGTTCATCGCCGCCCATGTCCTCTGGTAAACGGGTTAAAACTGAACCAACAAGGGTTCAGTAGGTTTGAATGAATGATATGGCTACTTGAGAATGGACAACGCGACAGGTAGAAAGTCTGGACAGCGGCGACGAAACTGAATAGTTCGGACTTCGGGGTAAGTACGACACGCGCATTCGGCCCCATGAGCTGGTTTCTATCTGCTCCAACCAGTTGCGGGATTGCACCGGTGCACCGCGTGCGCTCACAGCGTGTCACGAAGTGGCACAGGGACCTCACCTGACAAATCAATGCGCAAGCCCAATATAGAGATCACACGTCCTTGCTGAAGAAGAGGGCGCTCCCAAACTATTGGCGCGCGAGGACAAATTGTTTGTCTAGTTGTTTGATGTTGTTTGTTTGTCCCTGTTTTTGTTTGTTTGCCAGTTTCCCGTTACTAAGGGATATAAAGATTATATGTATATATATATGCCAACATGCGAATGCATTTTGCTGTACATGTCTTTGGAGGACATGCGTTTTCCATGTGATTGAGATTGGTAGCGGGGCGCTACACGATCCTCGGAAAGATCTTGGAGGTGGACCCTTTTGATTGAAGACTGCTTTGGCATCCTCCTACCGTTTAAAGGTAACAAGATCTCAAAGATCGTGCGCAGCGCCACTATGGCAGGAAGTGGTGGTGGACAACAACGTCGACGCCGCGAACAAGATGTCCCACCTGCTGAAGGAGATGGATGGACGCCTGAGCCTGAAGGGACACGATCTCCATCGAGAGCCAATGGAGCCGCTTCTTCGGCAGTCCAACTACAGGAGCTTTAGAAAAAGGTTGGAACTCTTTGCCCTCCAATGCCGCAGGAGATGCAGAAGTTGAGTTGGTGGTGAGCCTTCTCAAGAATTTGGCTTGGGACGCAGCCTCAGAGCAGCTCGACCTGAATGACATTGAGCGGAACACGGATCCCTTCAAGCCCGTGCTGAAGCTGTTAGACGGCCTGTACCAGTATGAAGAAGAGATTGAGGTCCCCGTACGCTGTGAAGACTTCTTTCAGTTGTTCATGAGAAGCCGGGGAGAAGAAATGCAGGCCTACTTGATTCGCCACAAGACTCAGTTGAAGAAACTCCGGGAGATTGGCATCGAGATCCCGCCGCTTTTAGCTGGTTGGCACCTTCTCACACGGTCTGGTGTGCCAAAGTGGACCCACATCCAGATCAAGAGTCTTTGCAACGGCGAGCTCAAGTATGAACAAGTTCATCAAGCTTTGCTCAATGTCTTCGGCGGCGACCACAAGCCGAATCCTCGTGACCTGTCATCCAACACCAAGACAGTCAAGGACGATGGTTTCGTGAATGAGGATGACATCAACCCTGACGAGGAGTTTTACATGGATGATGAAGAGGAGTGGTATGAGACATACTATGAAGATGAAATGGAAGAGGCTTCGAAGATGAGATCCCTGAGGATCTGGAGGAGGCAGTTGATGAGATGGATGAAGCCTACATCTCCTATGTGGACTCTCGGAGGAGGATGAAGGAACTTGCGCTCTCCAGGGGATTCTACCCCATTGTCGCCATTGGGCCTGAATGTGATGGCTACGGTTCAAAAGGAAAGTCCAAAGGCAAAGGCAAGAGCAAGTCAAGACCTTCAAAAGGAAAAGGAAAAGGAGCTCCACGACGATTTCCACCTCAACAACGACGACCCATGGCTGGTTTGAGAAAGCCATTTGCACCCTCTTCAGCGTCGACGACCACTTCGGGTTCTGACTACAAGTCAACGCTGTCAGGATCAACATCCAGTCATGGCCCTCGCTTCAAACGCTATAGAGTACAAGCCCAAGGTGAAAAAGAAGTTCCAGAAGAACAAGTCACCATGGTGGAAGATGATGTGCCACTATGCCACTTCGATGAGGAGGAGGTATACTTTGCGTCGCTCGGTCCTGGTATGGCAATTGTTGACTCTGGAGCCACACGCACCATCGTTGGAGAAGAAGTCTGGAAGAAATGGCTTGAGGAAGGCAACTTCGATGATGTCCTCAAGATCCAAACTCGTCCTCAGGTGCGTGACTTCAAGTTTGGAGGAGGAGAAGTTCTTCGATCAAGCTATGAGGTAAAGTTCATGGCCATGGTGAAGGGTCAACAACTTCCAATCTGTGCCTCTGTCGTGCCGGGACCCACGCCCTTCTTGCTCGCTCGCCCTACTCTTGAGGACTGGAAGGTGAAGCAAAACTAAGAAACCAATGAGCTCAAGATCGGTGTATCTCCTTGGTTCAAACCTGCACGAGGAGCCAAAGGACACTATCTACTCAACCTCCTGGACTTTGATGGTGACAGCAAGGACATGGCGCTCATCACTGAGGAGGCCTTCCACAACAATGACGTTTTTGCCATTGAGCCGGTCCTGGAATCTGAAGCCACAAACTGTGATGACCATGTGCTGATTGAAGTTGAACAAGATGAAGCTTTCAAAATCCTGGATCAAATTGGAGCACGAATTGATGAAAACAAGAAGCTGATCTTCTTCGAGGTGTACGTCGATGAGGGCAACATCGCCACCTACCTGGCAAAGAACTATCCTCATGTAGAGGTATCAACCTTCGGACTTCCAGAATGGGACTTCAGCGTTCCAGGAGTCAGAGACGCTTTCAAGAAGCTTGGGAAAAGGGTGAAACCTCACTATGTTTGGATGGCACCGCCATGTCGTGTATGGAGCACCATTCAACGATTGAACTGTGGCACTCCCGAAAAGATGAAGAACCTGATGGACCAGCGTGATGTTGAAGAGAATTCACACCTCATGATGGTCAAGGACACCAGTGACATCTGTAAGGACGTCAACTCCGGCTTTGCAGTTGAACAACCACATCATGCCTTGGGATACCAAAGCATTGAGCAGCATTGACAACTGCTATGACGCCGTGTGCAACAGATGCCAAACTGGTCTTTTTTACTTTGACAAGCAAGGCAACTATGTTGCAAAAGTGAAGAAGCCTACAAGATTGAGAACGAATGATGATGACTTCCATGCACATGCAAAAGCTACGATCACGTCAACATGGATGGCAAGAGTTGCAGTTTGAAACAAATGCAAAACTACGAACCTGGATTCGTGAAGTGTGCAGCCAAAGCCATCATGGCTTCTATGGAACGTCGCTGGAGACAACGTGAAGTTCTTCAAATCTTCGTCTCCGAGGATGTCAATATGGATGAAAAGACCCAGGCAATCACAGAGACCTCTGGCATCACGGAGGAAGAGAAGAAGCTCATGAAGAGTCACAGCAAGCAAGCTCTCTCTGTGGTGACGAAGCTGCACAAACAATTGGGACATCCAGGCAACGACAAGTTGATCAAAGCCATGAGGGATGCACAAATGGACGACTCCATCATCAAATGTGCTCGCGACTTTCGTTGCGATGTTTGTGTCAAACACCTCATGAGCAAGTTGCCAAAGCCTGGTTCATTGCCCCAGTCTTCGCACTTCAATGAGCTGCTTGAAGTTGATGTCTTCCATGTCAAATGGAACAATGAGAAGAAAAAGATCTTGGCCATCCTCGACACCTTCACCAAGTATGAGGTCAATGCAGTGGTGGAGCGAGAAACTGAAGAATGTGAGTTGAAAGTGCTTGAGGAACAATGGATCCATCCTTTTGGACCTCCGAGCAAGTTTCGAACTGATGCCTGTGGGGCCCACATGAGTGAGCAGTATCTGAGGTTCTTTGACAAGTATGGCATCAAGCTCATCATTGTTCCCAAAGAGGCCCACTACAGGATGGGTGCAGTTGAGCGCTTGCATGCAGTTCGCCGCCTTCAGCTCTACAAGATGCAACAAGGTGAGCCCAATGTGGAGCTTGCTGATGCCGTTCGCATGGCTTGCAGTCAAAGGAATCGCCTTCGGAACGTGCATGGTTCTTCACCAGCTCAGATGGTCTTTGGCTACAACCCAGCCAGTGGTGGACTCATAGACGAACCAGCACCAACGCGACCTGATGTCCACGAGGCCATTCAGCAAGACCATGCAGCATCTGGAATCCAAAGCTTTCTACGAAGCAAACCATGACGCACTCCTCAAGCGCTCCATTCTGTCTCGCCCACGGCCTGAGCTTGAACCTCTTCAGTTGGGAGATTTTGCATTCTACTGGCGTTCTCCCGAGGCCAAGCTTGACGCGCATCGATGGCGCGGACCGGGACTTGTGTCCGCAATAGAGCCTCGCACCACTGAGGACGGCATTCTCCGGCCTCATGTCTATTGGTTGGCCCATGGAAGCAGCTTGGCTCGCTGTGCCCCTGAGCATGTTCGAGCAGAAGTGCCTGCTGAGCGCTTGGCCCGTTTGGAATCTATGCCTGAAACTGCTCTCAGTCAACCTGTTTGTGATCGAGTCCGCAATGCCTTGATTCCTGTGCAGGGTCCTGTCAGATTTTTAGATCTTGCCACCGGTCCCACCTTTTCGAATGCAAAGGCGCCACTGTTGTCAGCTACCTCGCCTCCAACGATGGCGAATGAGCAGCTTGAGCCGAAAGAAGATGACAACATGACCGGACAACGGAAGTCACAAACAACGGAAGAAACGACAGAGCCAGAGCAACAAGCAGCTGCAGCACAAACAGCCGCCGCTGCAGATACAGAACCACATACACACGTTGCGGCAGCTGCAGACACGCAAACAGCCGCCGCTGCAGAAACACGAACCACAGCAACAGCAGAAGAAAGAAGTGAAAACAGGGCAAGATCGCGAAGTCCAATCCTCAGAGATGAACGTGCAGCCTCTTTTGAGAACTTGAGGCAAAGTGCTTTGAAGTCCTACAACGATGCACGCACTCTGGATGGCCTACCTGCGGTTGGTGAGGACGATCGCTCATTCCAGAACCGCTTCAATGAAATGAATGCTGATGAGAGCCTGGTTGCTGAGACCTTCAGCGAGAAGAAACTCACCCCTGCAGAAAAGCAGCTGTTTGAAGAGGCTCGATGCAAAGCATTACAGATCTGGTTCGATCATGATGCTTGGCGACCTGTCAATGAGGACGAGGCCCACGATGGTGAAGTGATCCCAGCCAGGTTTCTACAACGATGGAAACCAACGAAAGATGGACCACAAGCAAATGCTCGTGTCATCATCCAAGGCTTCAAGCACAAAGACGTTCTCAATGAAGAGCTTGAGCGGGAATCTCCAACTCTATCCATGCTTGGCCGACACTCTGTCTATGTCATGGCAACTCACAAGCGATGGAAGCTTTGGTCAGCCGATGTGAAGTCAGCCTTCATGCAGGCGGATAGCATCGATGCAACTACCAGGATCTACATCCGAACTTCAGCTGACATGCGTCGCTTGCTCGAGAAAAAGATTGACCTCAAGCCATGGCAAATTATGAAAGCCTGCAAACCAGCTTTTGGAGATGTTCGTGCACCAAGGCAATGGAACAACACAGCAAATGAGTACTTACTGCATGAGTTGAACTTGATTGCACACCCACTCGACCGCTGTGCGTATCTTTCCTTGCGACAAGCTGCCGATGGTGATGATCCCTTCTGCGTCTTCGAATACAATGGCACTCATTGCATTGTTGATGGCATTCTAGGCCTCCATGTGGATGACTTCATCGGTGCTGGAGAAGGTGTCACGACTTTGAATGACATCACAGGTGAGTTTGAATATGATGAGAACACCTTCGCTGGCCGCCTTCAAAAGCTTTCCCGGCGATTCAAGTTTGGCAGTTGGGACTTTGGCTCGAGTCTGGGAGTGAAGTTTTGTGGAGCCGACGTGGTCCAGAGTTTGAACCACGAGACCATCCAGATTTCCCTCGAGCAATACTGCCAGAAGGTGAAACCGATTTGCTTGGACAAGTCACGGAAAACAATGGTCAACGATGCTTGCACTGACAAAGAGCACAAACAACTTCGTGCATTGCTAGGAGCACTTGCCTGGCCAGCTCATCAATGTGTACCACAACTTTGTGCCAGTGTCAGCATCCTGCAATCAGCATCCAGCAGCCCTTTGATCAAGGACGTCAATGAGGCCAACAAGTTGTTGAGATTTGCAAAGAATGTGACCAAGGAGTACAAGATGACCTTCCACGCCCACGGCGACCTCTCGGCTTTGTGCATTGGTGCCTACACCGATGCTGCATGGGCAGTTCGCCCAGATGGCACGTCACAGGGAGGTCTGCTGGTCTTCCTGTGCAACCATGAAGAGTTGAGCTCAGAGAAACCAATGCCGCTGACGATACTCCAGTGGCAGTCCAAGAAGTTGCAGCGCATTTGCAGGTCTTCTTTGTCTGCTGAAGCACAGGCCGCCGCAGCAGCAGTTGATGAGCTTGAATGGAGCAAGATCTTCATGGCTTGCGTTGTGGACCCCACCTTGGACATTGGTTCGACTGAGGCCCTCAGGAAGTTTGGCACGTCTCCACTTGCCACTGATGCTCGATCCTGTTTGACGCTGCACGAAGCATCACCCCTGGCATGAAGTTGAGTGAACGCCGCACTGCAATCGAAGTTGCTATAGTGAGGGATCGAATGTCAGCTCTTGATGGACGATGGTTTTGGGTGAACTCACAACAACAAATAGCTGACGGTTTGACAAAGCCTGCAGCAAAAGACAACCTGGCCTATGTCTTGAACCGAGGCACTCACAAGTTGAGCTTTGAGCCGGACTTCATCGCCGCCAAGAAGGTCACCTATGAGGAGAAAGAAGCTGAAAGAAAAGAACATGAAGAGGCATCGAAAAACATCTTTGAAAACTTGCGCTTGAGGAGAAAGATGGCAACCTCTGCGCCCTTCCTGGTTGTGAGAAAACATGTGATGCCTCCAATCCAAAGAATAAGTTCTGCTCCAGACGCCACTTCTACCTCCATGCCCATCGACAAGGTCAAAGGCATGATGCTTGGAGAACGGCAGCCATGTCGGCTGTAACTTGTTTGATTGCCAATGAAATGCCAGTTGTTGAAGGAAGCCCCACCGAGAACGATGAGCGCATCCCTGAGTCCTACCTCGGCGCTCGCTTTTGGCTCACTGTTGGTGTTTTGGTTTTCTTTGCATGCATTGGCCTGGAGCACATGACCTACAAGATCTATAATCTCTTCCTCGAGAAGGCAATGGTTCTGTGGAAGAAGAATGAAGAGAATGAAAAAGAAGAAACGGTCGAGAACAATGACCGAACATGCACCCTGCCTCAACATCGGGGAGAGGTGATGGAACAAATCCTGGCCCTTTCAAGACGACCAGGCATCGACTACCGACCGGGCATCGACACCGGCAGTTCGACTTGCAACTCCGACAGCGAGCTTGATGATGAGGAGTACAACCGATGGAAAAAGCTTCTCAAAGAAGTTGAAGATGAACCCAGCTCCAGCGCTTGGAGGAAGTTGTTGAGAGATTTGAATGATGAAAACAGCGCCTTGGACGATCAGACACGCCTCATCCTGACCACCGAGGGCTACACGACCCAGCGCTGGCGGAAATTCCGAGAGCTTTTGAAAACAGCTCGAACTCAGAGCTTCTCGGATGATCAGGTGCGTCAATGGCACCGGATGTGGAATGACAACATCTGCTTCCTTGCTGATTGCAATCAGCGCATTGTGAGGCAGAGAGCTCGCATTGAATCCCTCGAGAGGATCAACCGCCTTCAGTTCCTGAATGAGAAGGGTGAGATCAAGGACAAAATGGTCCAAACGAAGTTGAGTTTTGATCAGGACACCACCCTGCCTTCCAGGACAGCCAGTGTCCTGCCAGACCATGCTTGCGGAGCATGGGAGTTTCGAAGTGACCTGAATCGGTCATGAGAGGGCTCAAATTTTGAATGTTTTTCGAAGGCCATGGAAATAAACTTTTGGCCTGTGTCAACATGCGAATGCATTTTGCTGTACATGTCTTTGGAGGACATGCATTTTCCATGTGCGACTGCCGTCGCTTCTCTGTCCGAAGGGCCCTTGATCCAACCGTGTTACGACCTCGACACTCGCAGCCATAAAGGTGCGCTCTTTGGACTCGCTTGGACGCTTTGTGGACTTCGGTTGCCACCATTGCGATTGAGAATATATATATATATAAATATATACAAGGGGGTTCTTGCGGGAATGGGTGGTAGTTCAAAGGCAGGGGTTTGTGGGCAGGTTTCGCCTTGGTCGCTGGTTCGCGCGCAGCGCCTAATGCTTCTTCGTGGCAGGCGCAATGCTTTAGTGGGCCGTGGTTTTGCGACTGTGCTCTCGCTGTGGCATGTCTTCCAACTTGGTGATAACTTTGTCGTCTCCGAGCCTTATGTTTCGGTGGTCTCAAATCTCAAGTAGGCTTTTCGTGGCAAACGCAGGAGGTCAGAAGTTGTTTGGTTGCGAACTTTGCTCCTCTGGTCAGGGTATTGGGTATTGGACAAGGTGAACCTCATGATCAGCTCGCAGCTGGTCTCCAGATCAAGGACTGTGTGGAGCAGTCCGGAAGAACGACGTGACTAGAGGGACTAAAAGTCAGCCCGCCACCGACACTTCAAGGCGTAAAAGACTTTCAGTCCAACCCACAAAGCCCAAACTAGCCTGCTGTCTTCACAAGGCTCACCCGCTTTCCAAAGCTTGGCTGGAGCCAACAAGCCGACCAATCATCAGAACAAAAAAAGAGACGGTCAAACACCATCGGGCACCTCCTGCAGCCACTCAAACAGGTCGAATTCCAATTGAACATTATGAATTGACTGTAATTGATAACATTAAAATTAAAAGTCTGACTTTTTTAAAAAAATTGTGGATTGGACATTGGATAGCATTACCTGATTTTCAAAACTCTTAGCTGATTGGTAGAATCTTTTGTGGATTCACCAGAGTCTGTTGGGGCTCATTTGTTCTTGAGTCATCCGACCCGAGTAGTGGGAGGTACCCCTGGATTAGTTAGAAAAACTGTTGGACTACCTCTAGAGTCTTTTTGGACATTTGATCTGGAGGAAGATAGATCTAGATTAATTCCTAGGTAGGGGGATGGTTCAAAATAACCCAGGGCCCCCCTCATCGCCCTACCATTTCTGAACACAAAGCACTTGCAAAGGCGTTGATTAGTTTTAGACACTGAAGATTCTCTGACACTATTCTTTAGATTTGTTTCTTGTGCCATGGCCATAGCAAGCATTCATTTGAGCAGTCTCAAAATAATCCAAAACGGTGCATCACCTGATGATTAATATTCATCAGACCTCCGCGTCTCAAAAATAAACCACAGTACTCTCAACCCACAAATCTGATGGCAGGATGAATTTAAGAAATGTTATACAGAATTATCGCCAGAATCCTACCATCGAGGAAAATGAATCCGACAAAACTAATCAGACACTCAGTGGTCACCTGGATCAATTTTCACTACTGTCAGGCATAATATATACAGTACGTGAATTTACGATAATTTACGCACTAACCCAGCATCATCGAATATCATCGACAAGCGTCCGAAGCAAAACTTGTCACGGAACCCCAGAGTCCTGGATCTTGACCATGATGGCGTCTTGCATTTGCGTAATTTTGCCTCGGCCGAAGCAAGTGAGGGCAAAAGGAAACAACGAGAGAACATGGGCGCATCAAATACATTCACGCGATTCATGCCAATGGCCTCATTGGACTCATACATACGAGTTCTCCTGGCAAAGCCAGTGGGCTCTAATTCCAAGCGTACAAGCGATAGAATTACAGTGTGGTTGACCAGTGTGAACTGCTAATTAGTTGTGTGATGCATGCAAGCCCGTGCGCCCGGGTCCAATGACTTGGGACAAGTCTGGGAAATGAGTGAATTTTGCAGATCAAGGGCTATCTCATAAGGGCTATCTCATGTGGTAGAAATGCGAAAGGCACCCTGCATCGGCCCTGCTCATCATGCTTATTCTTCTTGTGGGGGTCATTGAGCCTCGCATCCATGCATGCCCTCTTAAACTGCTGTAGCAACTGCAATATGCGCCATGCTTTAAATTTTGGTATGGCCATCTTGGAGGCGTGGAAACTTAAAACAATAACCTATATATAATTGTTTTCTTTATATGTACACGCAACGATATATTCTGATCTCGATCTCTGGCGTCTCTGGATTTTGTGCCTTGTGCGTGCTAGCCCTCCACACAAGTGCGTGGGGGTTCTTACTTTTATTTGCGCCTGTGCCCGGTCACGGTCAGTGGGTGCGTGGGTGTGTGGGTGAGACGGTGAGTGGGTGAAAGGGATTGAGGAATGGAGGGCCGTGATGCACCCACGCGCACACGTCCGCCCGCCCGCGAAGAGTTCTCAACAGAGTAATGTGTCTTGAAGTCGGCTTTTCTGAATCTCTGCGCGTGCAAACATCAACATATAGACTATTATAAACTGACAAATAGATTTATATATTGAACTTATGAATTGAACCTCGTCTTCCCAGGGCAGCTGAAGATGCGAAACATGAATTCTGCGAGGCATCCTCTTTTGTTCTTTGCTTGTCCAAATCTGCTCTGCTGTACTCTACGCTTCTGTTCTCTACCCTGCTGTGCGCTACTCTTCTGTTCTTTTCGTCTTACTCTGCTCTACTACGATAATATGTTCAAAGTATATAAAATCCCGTCGCAAAACAACCATTTTGGAGCAACTTTGCTATACGCCATACGCTATACGCTGGGTACCGGTTGGGTAACGCGTTCAAGTGCGCATCTGTCAAAGGCACCACTGCACAAGGGCAAAGGAGGAGAGTGGCAACGGTGCCCCCCCAATACAACCCCAACACAGGCAACACACAACCACCCCAGCAACAGCAGCAGCAGCAGCAGCAGCAGCCACAACAACCAGAAGCGGCAGCAGAAGCGGCAGTGGCAGCGGCAGCAGGCAGCAGGCAGCAGCAAATGCAGGATTGTCCAACACCGATAGGCATAACAAACATACGATCACAGCTGGGACCTGAAAAATATGTTTCCTGTGAGTGTAAACCGTGATTTGGAGTAAACCGTGGTTGGTGTAGACCGTGGTTTGATGTAAACGGTGGTTGGTGCAAGCCGTGGTTTGGTGTAAACGGTGTTTGGTGTAAACTGTGGTTTGGTGAAAACCATGGCTGGTTGTAAAACGTGGTTTAGTGTAAGTGTAAACGGTGGTTGGTGTAAAACGCGGTTTGGTGTAAAGGGTGCTTGGTGTAAACCGTGACTTGGTGTAAACCGTGGGTGGTGCGGTGTAAACGATGGTTGGTGTAAACTGTGGTCTGGTGTAAACCGTGGTTTGGCGTAAAGTATGGGTGGTGCAAACCGACCCAGCAGCAGCAACCGCAACAGCAGCGATAGCAAACCACCAAGCAGCAGCGGCAACAGCAGCAAAGCAGCAGCAACAAAGAAACATATGGGTTCTAAAGCAAAAAGACTCCGGCTAGCTACAGCTAGCTTTCTTGATTTTTGCGCAACCTGGCCTCCTTCAGAGCCAAATATCTCTTGCAAAGCAAGGAGCTACAGGATCCCTGTGTTGTCAGACGGTCAATTCCAATGCTTTGCCGAGGCGCTGGAGATGAGGCGAGTTGCGTCAACCTACCGGGAGCAAATGCACCGGCCAACGCTAATGACTTGTGGGGCTAAGTTGGTATGGGCCTTCTTGATTCCTTGCTTGTTGCACTCCCAAATGGCTTTGAATTCTTTCTTGGCATTCTCAATGATGATCTCTTGGATTTGCCGAACCTGAGGAATCTTTGCACTGACTTTGCTCGAGCCAGTGCCACAGCTTCTCAAATTTGCTGGGGACACCGTTGAACTGCGGAATACACTATTCTGAGAGCAGCGCGTAGTCCTGGTAGAATTGCGGCGCTTGACCTGCACATGAAGCATTAGCTGCGAGCCCTGCCCGAGACAGCGCTGCCAAATTTGAGGCGCTTGCAAACCAACAAAATATATGCATCAAAAGTGCTATATCTAGCTGCGCTAACTGGCACGCATGGTCTGCAGCCTACTCAATATGAAGCACATTAAATTAAGGTCACATACAGTCAAGCAAACACTTATTTCGTGAACAAAGTACATTTGATCCGTCTGGGGCTCAGGGCTAAAAAACCCTGGCTCAACCTCATTATCATTAGCCCCACCAGTCACATTTGCCCTGAAGCTGTCTAAGTAGTACAAGAGGTCTGAATCTTAATAACCTGGGATGAAGTGGGGCGGCGTCAAGCTGCAGTGTTCCAAACCAAATCAAAAAGGCTCCAACCATCACTTGCCCACAGAATGCACCACAGCCCTTTATTGCAGCGGCCTCACCATACGTAGAAACAGGCCCCCGAAGTTGAGCTTTATTAGCAAACATGGGGGCCAAAGAGTTGGCCCCCCAACTCTCTTCCAACTGATTTCCGTCGCTTCGGTGGCGGGGATGCGAAATCAGTCTTCGTGCCCCTGCGGCTACAGTTTAATTGAAAGAAAGCAAAAAAGTTAACGTCTTGTCATTTGGACACGCCAAGAGGTCCTCTATCATTCCAAGGGTTACACATATACGCCCCCCCCCCAGCGCTTTTCAGGTCCGCGCCCGGTGAGGAGGGATCAAGTGAAACGCGCGATCGGTGCGCGGCAAGGATAGGCGGTCAGAGGAGTACACAATTATCATCATGGAGCTTCAAAGGGCGAGCCGTACGGCGTCGGGGCCACATGTGGTTGTCCAACGATGGTATATATCTATCACTACTTGGGACATTGACGTTGATGATGTTGAGGGGTTGGTGAGCAAGGCGGCTGACATGGACTCGAAGGACTTTGACCGGTAGCACCATGCATAATTCAATTGAAGGCGGCGCAATTATTGTCGCAGTCGATCTGGTAGTAGCTTGGCGAGTTGGCGGTATTTGCATATAAGCGGGGTGTTTCCCGATCGAACAATTTGCTTGACCTTTGAAAGTCGAGAACGGAGCAAAGGATGTAGAAGGCCGAAGGTATACCGCCGAAGGTAGCAGAAAACCTTGAAAGCAAAGAGGCCGGTTGGCGGCGAAAGTGATGGAAAAGAAAATCAGATTGCGATGCGGGCCGAAGGCGAAGAAGACGGTGTAGCTGATAAGCACCATATTATAGCTGTGCTCCAAACATGGCAAGAGCACAAACTGTTCCGCAAAGCATAGAAATTGAACAGCGTTGAAAAATGGTGAGTGCCCAGGGTGATGTCAACAGTTCAAGGCATTCGCGATGGCGAGAGCATCTTGATTGGCGGGATTGGGGGCGTCAAGACAGTCGGCTTTCATATTTGCGATGACCTCGATCTCAGTGAAGAGCTCCTCCACTTTGGCAGTCTGCTTCTTGTTGGCACTGTTGCAGGAAACCCAGGTCTTGATCTTGCTGATGGTGTGTTTAGTGGGAGGACAAGTTTCCGGAACGGCGTCACGAGCACCAACGATCCGCATCAAGCGGTAGAAGGCCTTTTTCCCGAGAGCGCCTGCGCAAAGGGTCCTTTTAAAGGCACAAGCACTCAGCGCAAGAGCAAAACGTGAGTGTTACATATCATCACAACTTACATCCGGACAGGTATCCGGGTATGCGCATCTGCACATCTGCGCCTCTTCACACCAGCGCATATCCAGACCTGCGCGTGTTAACATCTGCGCATATCCGGACACGCGTGTCTTCACATCCACATGTATCCAGACACGCGCCTCTTCACACCTGCGCGTAATAGCCAAACACGCGCGTCTTCACAACCGCGCATCTCTCACTTTCAACCTGACTCTTTTTCATGTTCTCTCTCTTCTCCCTCTAGAGCTCCTTCTCTTGTCGTCGTACTCTTATCTTTCTCTCTTAGTTCGGGCGGAGCACCGACAAGGCGCCACGAAAAGCAACCCTTTCGCGTGAAATGCGCGTCAAGTGTCAAAATTGCTGGTTCAATTTGTCGGTGGCAGCCCCTTCGCACGAAATGCGTGTCAAACGTCAAAAACTGAAAGAAAATTTTGATTTCCATGTTTCGGCAACGACCCTTTCGACCCCTTTTGAACGAAATGAATGTCAAGTGTCAAAAAAATCAAAAAATGCGAGTATATTGCAATTTGCGATGTCCAACGGTGGAAGGTGCAAACGTGTGTACGAACTGTATGTGGTGGAAAGTACCTTTGCATCAGTCTGTGTGCCACTGGCGAACGAGAAACATGCTGGACATAAGCTGCAACAATGACATCGCCAGTAAGACCTCTTTGGGGCAGGACCTGCGCCCGCACATTCTATTTTGAAACTGTGCGAAAGCCTGTGTAAAAATCAATTGTAGATTGTAAGGCTTAGTTTAATTCTCACGGGCAAGGCCTGAACCCGGCATTTTGTTGTCAACCTGGACATAAAACGCACAAACATTGACCCTGATACCTCCTTGGGGCAGGACCTGAACCCTCACATCTTTCTCCAAAAGCTGCGCGTAAACCTGCGTCAATATCGGCTGTCTGACCTATGCGGGGCAGGACCTGCGTCAATTTTTAAGCAAGGCCTGTCATAAACGTAGATGAATGCCAACTGTCCTAAACCTTACAGGCAATTGTCACACTAGACATAAACCTGCGCAAACATCAACTGTAAGACCTTGTTAGACACAAGCTGAACCCACACATGTAACTTGAGTACCTATTAAAAAAGAGTCCGGCAGGCTGTGGAAGTGCACTTTTACATCAATTTTTCAGCCATACTAAGTTATCTGACATGGCTGCCTTCATCTGCTAGTTTTGGCTTGACGCAAAAATTTCCCCAAGTATACTCATTGAGTGAGCATGGCTGCAAGCCTCCGACGAGAAATGGAGGCAAAAACAGCTTCTAATCTGCGTTAATGTTTGTTTACTTTCAATATCAATTTCATCCGCTTCACTTTTATAAAGTGAACACGCTACATCAATGAGTATGTTTCGTCACAAAATCTGATCAGGATGGAGTTCTCACATTTGAAGAGGCAATTGCGCAAACAAAGGAAACAAAGCTGACTGCTCCACTTGACAACCCTTTGCAAACTACTCGAGAACAGGGGCCAGTTCAGTTTGATGATCTTTCTCTCCGCATTGTGGAGAAAGATGGAGGCATGCTTGAACAATTTTGTGACATCATCTTGGATCACCCCTGGGATGGATACACCGATCACTTCGAGCGTGTCATCTACAAGAACGTAGTGGATGGCAGGTGCACGGATCTGCCAGCACCATTCTCATTGACATCAGAAGTGTCTGTGCCCATTCTCATGCAAATCATCATGGTTCCTGTCAATCCTCCAGAAGACGCACCGAATCCAGAAGAAAAATATGTGAACCTTATCAAACACATATAACCCAACAAGAACAAGATCCCATCATCCATTTGCATGGATCTCTGCCGGAGACTTTGCCATTGCTTCGAATGGGGTGGGCAAAACAGAGCAGGTCTCTTGGCGTTGAACTATATGTTCAACCAAATGGATGGATTACAAATTCGCTTCTGGAGTATCCAACCAAAGATGACCATCAAGAAAACGCCCGACAATGCGGCGCGAGAAGAGGGATATAGATTCATCCGAGAGAAGGGGCCCAAGACAAACAATCGGAACCAGTTTATGGAGTGGACTGACCAGCAGATCCACACACCAGGCTCACCCATTGAAGGCTGGCAGGAAGGAAAGGTCGTCACGGCTTTGACGAATTATATATGCGTGGACGGCAGAACGCCAAAACTCTGGAATACTGGCCGTTCACGCTGAAATCCATCAAGCCTTGGTTTTTCAATGAGGTGCTCCGCGGCAGTATCAGGCAGCGTGCCATTACATGGATTGGAAAGACCCGTAGTGGCAAATCACCCGGATCAAAAACAATCTTGTTCGCACTAGGCAAATTCGAAATCACCCAGGACGAACGAGATGAAGACATGATTCCGCCCATCGTGACAGCAAAGAATCTAGATTTCTTCAAGGCCGAGCCGCCGACGAAATACAAGCCTGGTGTCTTCGATGACGGACAGATGCAAAAGAATGACGCTAGCTCCTTCTTGAAGGCCTTCCTGAATCCATCAGCTACCTGGATGCAAACAAATAGTTTCAATGTTGAACATTCGTATCGTCTTCCTAAAAAGGTTATCCAACAAAGTGCGCCTGAAATAGACGGGAACTAGTAGAACCAGTGTCAGGAAGAGGATGCAACAGTATGGGCCCGCTACTCCTCCGCATACTTTGAACAGTCTGCTGGACGGCAAGCCTGCAACAATCCGTGCAACAAGGAGTTGGAGAAAGACCTCGTCGAGAAGATGCGCAGCAAAGATGAATGGAACATCACTTGTTCAGATTTCCTCGATCTCATTCAGCCATCCTTTGCAGAATCGACAGCTCTGAAGACATGGGTGCTTTCATGTCAAGAACGCGTGCCATTCTTCTGGCGGATCACGGTGTCTTCTCGTGCATCGCGAGCACTGCAAAGGATGACATTACCTTCATCAAGTGGCCTGAGAACGACACACCAGATCTCCTAGAACCATCTCAGGCGCCAATCTGCAAAGAGTACAAGGCCAATCCTGCTCAACATAAGCTTCCTCCTACATTCCACGATGACAACAAGTCCAAGTGAAGAAGGAGAAAGCTCAGCAGGTTTGGAAACATCTGAAGAAACACGGACCACTCACCATTGAGCTCGACACACCCTCGCCTTCGCCCCAAAAGAAAAGAGTCAAAACTTCGGATGCCATTGCTTCAGCCTCATCATCTACACATGACATTGCATCGCTTTTGGGGGCAGAGGGCGCAAATCTGCACGCCGAAGAGGAAACTCCTACAATCATGAATCCCGAATTGCCGTCCCTTCCGAATGATCCCGATGATGATAGTGCTTTTCCTCGAACTGGAGAAGCGCCTGAGGACG